AAAAAATGCAAGTGCTTTTCCAGCAATAGTGGCCCCATTACTTGGAATGCACTCTTTAAAGCTTTAAAGTATTGGCAGGCGGACGGTTTTCCATCTCCAAGAGGCCCCTAAAGTTCTCCATGCAGCAGGCTTTCTCCAGCCTGCGCCATTTTTTCATTTAGATTTTCAGCAAGTCTCGCATAAGATCCTAAAATCTTGAAGAATGTATGCTTTGCTTGCATGTATAAGTGCATGTGTATAAACAATATGTATGTAAAGAATGTGATTTGGGTGCTTAAGTAACATACTGCAGAGCGATTAAAAAATGTGATTCAAAGGACCAGTTACTTTGGAGGATTTAGCCCATTTACAGTTCAGGGTTACAAATTGAGAACACACTGTTATTGTCTTTCAACAAAAGAGTCTTGGAATATTTTGCATTTATAATTGTCAACAAATCTAAAAAACAACAACAATGAATTGATCCTATTAACAAGTATTGCATGTGCGTGCATCTCCACGAAACTCCATTGCAGTCCAAAAACTATTACAAATACATCAATGAGTCACATCATTAAACTGAGTCGACCATTATGCAATATCCAAATTAGAAGCTGAAAATAGTCCTAAAAAATACTCTTGTTAGCACAAACTAAATGTGTCTGTTTTTTGTCGGTTAGCACCTGACACGCTAAGTTGTACCTACGAAAGAGCCTAGCAAAACCATAACTTTTAAAACAATGCTTAATTTGATTGTGAACATTAATAAAGAAGTTGGTGTCACTAATGAATTATATTTACTGAGAACACATCTCTGGCTAACTTATTTTGACAGATCACACTTATTTCCTTTTTTTACCTTTGGACAAAGCCAGGTGAGCTGTTTCAACTGTGCTGTTAAACTAAGCTTAGTGTATGCCAGCACGAAGGTATTTAACTGGTCTTGATATCTTGGTATGAAAATAAACAAGTGTATATCTCAAAATATTAACCTTTTTAACACAGGCCACATAGCCCTCATTCCCACCTTATTCCATATCACTTGTGCATCAAAAACCAAAGCTGTCTTCCAAGTTGTGGTATCTTAGCTTGTGTTATTATTACATGTCATTGCATTTGTCCAGCAGGGGGCAAACTCACTCTTGGTATTAAAATAACCTGTTGTACATGTTCCCACGAGGAAGTCCCGGAAGCATGTTACCAAAGTAAACTGGTTAAATCTACTCCTACGTTGTGGACATACAGTTATTGATCATAAGATACAACATATTATTGGCGACGAGGATTAAGGAGAGGATTAAGACAAGGATCAAGACGGGATCAAAGAGGACATGCCGAACGGACTTGTTAGCACCTTACCAGTGTGCGAAAAAGCACACGTCCCACCGTCCGGGACGTGTTATTTACGATATCGGACAAGTAGATCTTTCAATTGACTTGTCCGGCGGACAAGTGATGTTTTTCGCCCTCATTTATTGACAAATTATTGATAAATTCAGTTTACAAAAGGCAGAAGTCATTCGCAAATTGTCCATGTCCGCCATTGTTCGTTTAGCAATGTTAGTTTCGGTTCTGCTTGTCGATTCCTAAGGAAATGCATCTCGCCGCTTTCTGTACTGTTACGGAGCCTACACACGGCGGCGTGCGTTGCCGCTTCAACGCTTCTGCCCATTCACTTTGAATGGGGTGACGTCACGATTCGCCGAACTGCATTGTGGGAGTAAAGCGTAGCTTCTCTCGCGGTGCTCGCTGCAAAAGTAGAGCAATGTTCTACTTTTGCCGCCTCTACGAAGGCGTCAGCCAATCAAATCCCGCGTATGCAAATCTGACATTACAAGCGCTAGCCAATCAAACTGCGTGTATGTTGGGAGAGCCAGACCGCAGTTATTTCCCATATGTAAAATAATGGAGGAGAAAAAGATTGTGGCGGTACTATATGACCAGTCCCTCTTTACATACATGGATACAAACCGGAGGAGCCAGGCATGGGGGGAGGTGGCAGAGACAGTGGGTGACACTGGTAGGTTTTCGCCTTTTGGGGAGTTTATATCCAGTGTACTTCGTTTGAATGGACAGCTAGCAAGCATAGACAGTATATTTAGCCAGCATGGATGTAGCATGAATGCTTTGCTTTGTATGTCCGGGGCGGGACATTCATGTGATTGGTTGTTGGTCGCGTTGTTCGTAAAAAATCCCCAAGCTTCAGACACGCCCACCGCCCAGCGGTAACGGCCCAAAAAATGCTTTCAACGCTTCGCCCATTCATTTGAATGGGGTGACGTAGGATATTTTCAAACTTCGCCGAACTGCATTGTGGGTAGCATGGCAAGGCGTTGCAAGCATCGCGAGCGTCTATCGGCGTCAAAAGTTGAACAATGTTCAACTTTTGAGGCTCGATGCTTGCTCGAAGCTGGCGTCAGCCAATCAAATCCCGTTTTTGCAATTCCTGCCAGTACAAGCGCTAGCCAATCAAACCGCGTGCAAGCTGGGAGAGCCAGACCGCAGTTCATTTCCTCATATTCCAAACGAGAAATTACGGTAGCAAATCACCCGGTTCTTTCCGACCAGAACTATTTACCGGGATACAAACCGGAGGAACCAGGCATGGAGGGAGGTGGCAGAGACAGTGGGTAGGTTTTCGCCTGTTTGGGGATTTTATATCCAGTTTACTTCGTTTTAACATTGCTATTGCTTTGTATGTCGGGGGCGGGAGATTCATGTGATTGGTTGTTGGTCGCGTTGCTCGCAAAAAATCGCCAAGCTTCAGACACGCCCAGCTTCAAGCTTTTTCGACGCCTGTAGTGTAGACGGGCCGTAACGCACGCCGCCGTGTGTAGGGGCCGTTAGACCGGGGCGGGGCGGGGCGGGGCGGGGCCATGGATGTATAATAAGAACGACGTGTAGCACAGTGGCAGGGTTGGGAAGCAAAACTCGGTTCCGAGTAAGAACAAATAACAATTGTCCAGTACCGGGATTAATAAGAGTTGAACTTGTGAGGACAGGAGGCGAGGCCGAGCCCCGCGGACTGCAGCTCTCTCTCTCTCTCTATGCTCCGTATCAGCTGATCGCTGCACGGTGCACACTTTCTACACACAGCAGATCCGCTGCCCGTTTAACAGCCTCATCTTTGTCAAACTTTCTTATGTTCTTTCTCTAACACGTAATGAAGGTTATTAATCGTTTTAGCTCCTGTGTTGTTAATATTGACCACCATTTCCTTTATGAAGTAAAGCAGCCTCCCTGTCTGTGTCCTCGCACTGTCCTCACATCCCCGGACCCCCAGACTCGGAGGAGCATAGGGATGTCAGTATTGTTTATGAAGCAGGGTATAGAAAGTACATTATTGAAATGAAAATACTATTTATTTACTTTTACAAACAGTGAGCAGCTGGGCAGCTGCAGCATGTGTATTGCAGGACATGTGTAAGCGTGCAAGCGTCTTTGAGTTGTAGAAAAGCGCTAGGCCTATAGGCTATATATAAATATAATGTATTATTATTATTAGGCCTATGTGTTGGAGATGTGTGGTTGGACTGTGTCTCACAGGCAGGTTGCAGTGTAACATCAGAGGAGACTGGGCCAATTGTACATTCTCAAACTGCACCACTTAGAACTAACTAAACAATGCTGAGATTATTTTTATATAATTGTATTCAATAACCGTAAGAAATTAAACAGTATGAAGTGATTTGTAAATAGGAATACAGATTTGACTTAATGTTTTCATAAATATATTTTTCTCCCAGTTTGTCATGGGACTTATTTTTACCCTCTCAAAGAACCGGAATCGAGAACCGAAAATAACCGGAATCGAAAAGCATAACCGGAATCGTTAAAATCCAAACGATACCCAACCCTATGTGTGATGCAGTAAAATCTTACCGCTCACTTACGTTAGCGGTGTCGTAAAAAACGTGAGAAAATGTAAAATACGATGGCGAAGAAGAAGATTCCAGTGGCCCCAATTTTTGTCCATTCTGGACAAGTGAAAAATGTATTCGGACAAGTAAATTGCCAAACTCACTTGTCCATGGACAAGTACTCTCTAAAAACTTTTTCTCACACTGCTTACATGCAGGTTTGGGTCGTTAGCGGCAGCTAGCTCAAATTGTTAGTAAAGTCTGCGGGTGGAGGAGAGGATTCATTGACACACAATGGCAATGATTGGCACGCTGGCACCTTTTGATGCAAACAATCAGAAGTGGGAAGAATACTGTGAGGTATTGGAACAGTTTTTTGAGGCTAATGAAATTGATAATGGAGACAGACAAAGGGCTATATTAATAAGTGTTGTAGGATCATCAACATACAAAACCTCCTCAGTCCGGATATGCCCAAGAATAAAACTTACACACAACTTGTGGAGCTGCTAAAAAATCACTTTGACCCAAAGCCTAGTGAAATTGTGCAAAGGTACAAGTTTGACTCCTGCAACCGTGAGCCCAATGAGTCAGTAATGGAATACGTGGCTGAGCTGCGTCGGTTAGCGCAGGATTGCAACTGTGGTAACACTTTGCAGCAGAGGTTGAGAGACAGGATCGTCTGTGGAATAAATGAAGATCGGATTCAGAGACGACTTATCAGAAGCGGATTTAACATTTGAAAAAGCATTGTCAATTGCTGTGGTGTCAGAGACTGCAAATAAAAATGCACAGGAGATACAAAACCAAGGGGCCACAGCTAAATGCTTCAAAATGGATAAAAAGCCACAGGAGGCTTATGCACACAGAGAACCTACCAAAGAGTGTTACAGATGCAAGGGAACCAAGCACCAAGCAGCAGACTGTAAGTTTAAACAAGAGAAATGTCATGCATGTGGTAAAATAAGACACATTGCCAGAGCTTGTCGTAGTAGATCTACACAGAATGGAAACAGCAACAAAAATGCAGACCCAAAGGAAGGGGAAAGGAGGCAAACCACATATCACCGTTCTCATAAAGTACAAGAGCAACAGAGCCAAAGTGATAGCTCAGAAGAAGATACATTCTTTCTGAATAAGATGAGGTTCAGATTGGGACGCATGAGTGAAGTGCACCTGAGACGAGTAGACCCATACATGGTTGAAGTGAAGCTGGATAGTAAGTTTGTTAACTTTGAGATAGACACTGGCTGTAGTCTCACAATAATGAATGAACAGACATTTCAAAGACTATGGAAAGACACAAAAAGTCCATGTTTGAGACCAACCAAAATCCACATCGAGTCTTATACAGGTGACCCTGTTAATGTGGTCGGAGCTGCCATTGTTAAAGTGAAATACAAACATCAAAGGCGGTACCTGCCCCTCATTGTGGTTAAAGGGGACGGCCCCAGCCTGCTGGGAAGAGGCTGGCTGGAGGAAATAAATCTGAGTTGGAAAGAAATCAAGCTCAGACACAAATCCCGAGTCCTGAAACACCTGAAGACAGAGGACAAATCGCTGCAGCAAGTACTGAGCAAACATGAAAATGTCTTCAAAGAGGAGCTTGGCACACTGAAAGGTATAAAAGCTACCATCCATGTAAAGGCTGATGCAGTCCCTCGTTTCTTCCGTCCAAGGTCTGTCCCGTACACCATGCGCACCAAAGTAGATGAAGAAATAGACAGATTGTTGAAAGAAGGAGTAATCTCACCTGTTAAACATGCAGAATGGGCAGCACCAGGTTCCAATACTGAAGCCTGTTGGGACAGTAAGGCTATGTGGAGACTACAAGCTCACTGTAAATTAGGGTTGGGAACCGAAACTCGGTTCCAGATGAGAACCGATAAGAAAATGCCGGGTACCGGGTACCCATACAAAATACACAATTTCGGATCTGCTTAACGGTTCCTAAACGCGGTAGACCCTGTATTCCAGCGGGTCCGTCTGCACCGCGGTGCTGCGGTGACCCGGTGGAATACAGGGCGGACCTGGAGAATCACAGAACGGCCGGTCGTCAGCGGGCCGTTGACGGCCGACTCGGTACGCTGACGGCCGGCACCGCCCTTCAATTTTTTAAACGGCATCATATAAATTGCGCTGACAGGCGACAGAGGTCCACAGTTGCCCCGCAGCGATGCTCCCCCGCCCTCCCGTAGACATTTCACGAGCTCAGTCACTTCATAACACCAAAGATAGGTCGCGGTAAACACTCTGAAGTGAGGCTCCACTACACTAAAAAAGAAAAAGCAAAGTGTAATGCCTGTTAATAGCTTGCCACAGGCATAGCTCAGTTAAAATAAAGCACAGCTATTGTGCAATACATTTGTATTGCATGTATATTTTTTAGTAACAATTTCAGTTAAAGCTTTTAAGAATAAATATATTTTTGTTATCTAAACGTTTGACCTCTTTATTTTACAATTTTGGAATCGAAACGGGGAATCGATAAGAACCGGAATCGATAAGCAGAACCGGAATCGAAATCGGAATCGATAAATTTCAAACGATACCCATCCCTACTGTAAATACAGTTTCCTCACTTGAACAATACCCCATACCCCGAATGGAAGATCTGTTTGCAGCACTGACAGGAGGAAAACAGTTCACAAAGTTGGACATGAGTTATGCATACCAGCAAATACTCATGGATGATGAATCAAAGAAATACTTAACAGTGAACACGCAGGCTTATTCTGTTGTGCACCGTCAAAAGTGTTAGTCAGTCATGTTTCATGTTTATGTTGTATTGTTTTTCACTTCCTGTTTTGTTTTTGTCACGTCTCATTTTAGGTTCCTTGACTCCCTTTCCTTATGTGTTCTCCCGCCCTCATCAGCGTCAGCCCCGCCCCTGATTGTTTTCACCTGTGTCTTGTTGTTGAGTGTTTAAATTCCCCAGTCTCCCAGTGTTCAGTGTCAGTTTGTCTTGTCCAGTCCTCATGTCAGAACTCTGCTCATCAGTTTTTGATTATCTTGACACATGCCTGATTCATGCTCCTGAAAACTTTTTGTAAGTTTTGTTCCTCAAGTTGTGAGCATTTTTTTGTTGAGCCTTAATGAAACTCTTTATTTTTGTCACCTCGCAAAGAGTGTTTTTTCTTTTTGTATATCCTTTTGGCAACTAAAAGTATATTACTTATACTTTACCTCTGTCTCCCGGGTTGTGCATTTGAGTCCTTATCCTTGTGTAACCAAGTTCATAACATATTCACATACAACAGACTGCCTTTTGGAGTAGCATCAGCCCCAGCTATATTTCAGAGGACAATGGAAGGTCTCCTGCGAGGCATTCCTTTCGTGGCAGTGTATTTAGATGACATCCTGGTGAGCGGTGTGGATGAGGAAGACCATCTGCAGAACCTCGAGACAGTGTTGGCAAAGCTGGAGGAGGCAGGATTGCGTCTGAGAAGGAGCAAGTGCACTTTCCTGGAAGAGGAAGTGGAATATCTGGGACATCGAGTGGACGCACAGGGACTTCACCCTGTTGAAAGGAAAGTCAAAGCCATCATGGAGGCTCCCAACACCACAAATGTTACTGAACTCAAGTCGTACTTAGGTTTGCAAAATTACTATAACACATTTCTGCCAAACTTAGCTACACTATTGGCACCACTGCATGAGCTCCTGCGACAAGATGTGCGATGGACATGGCAAAGGAAACAGGAAGAGGCTTTTAAAAAATCAAAGGCCCTGTTAAACTCAGCAGAAGTGTTGGTGCATTACTCTGCTGACCGAGAGTTAATTATGTCATGTGATGCGTCACCTTACGGGGTGGGCGCTGTTTTATCACACGTAATGGACGATGGAACTGAATGTCCTTTGGGGTTCATGTCGCGTACCCTAACGCCTGCTGAAAATAATTACTCAGCTAGACAAAGAAGGCTTAGCAGTTATATTTGGAATCAAGAAATTCCACAAGTACTTGTATGGTCGAAGTTTCACCATCTATAGAGATCACAAGCCACTGATCTCTCTCTTCAACGAAAAGAAACCCATTCCACAGATGGGTTCCCCTAGAGTTCAGAGATGGGCGGTGCACCTGAGTGCCTATGAGTATCACATTGTGAACAAACCAGGAAAGAACAACGCTAATGTGGACCCATTAAGCAGACTGCCGCTGTCGGAAGATGTGCAAGAGAGTGAGACCGCAGAACAAGTGCTCATGATTGATCTTCTAGATGACACACTCGTGGACACAGCCAAAATAAAACACTGGACAGCTAAGGATGTAATATTGTCTCAAGTTCATGGTTATGTCCTGTCGGGAGGGCCTTCAGTGACTGAGGCTCCTCTCAAGCTGTATCATCAGAGGAGAGAGGAACTGAGTGTGAGGGATGGCTGCATGCTCTGGGGAGCCAGAGTCATCATACCAAACAAAGGCAGGGAAAAGATATTGAAAGTACTGCACCAAACACATTCCGGCATGTCAAGATCTTATGTATGGTGGCCTGGGATGGACCAGGATGTAGAAAAGGAAGTGCAGTCTTGTGAGGAGTGCCAAAAGCACCACAAGTCACCACCATCAGCACCATTACATCCCTGGGAGTGGCCGGAGTCTCCCTGGATGATAATTCATGTGGACTATGCAGGTCCTTTCCTGGGAGAGATGTTTCTACTGATAGTGGATGCTCACTCAAAATGGATGGATATTTATCCAGTGAAGTCAGCTACATCTCAGGTGACCATTGAAAAGCTGCGTCAGAGTTTCAGTGTTTTTGGACTGCCAAAAATGTTGGTGTCAGACAACGGAACCTGTTTTACAAGTGCTGAATTTGAGACTTTCATGAAACAAAATGGCATCCGCCATGTGAGGTCAGCACCGTTTCACCCGTCTTCTAATGGGCTGGCAGAGAGGGCGGTCCAAACCTTCAAAGGGGGGATGAAAAAGGTGAAACAATGCAAACTAGACGGTCAAGGTTTCTGTTCAGTTACCGCATCACACCGCACGCGACCACAGGCCTGTCGCCTGCAGAGTTGATGATGTCAAGGAGACTCAGATCTGCACTTGACCTGCTCCTGCCAGATGTGAAAACAAGAGTGCAGCAAAAACAACTAAAACAGAAACAGTCCCATGACACAAACAGGAAACTGAGAAGTTTCTCACGTGGGGATAAAGTGTTCATCAGAAACTACTCTTATTAGGGCTGCACAGTATTGAAAAAAACTGACATCGCGGTTTTCCCCCCCCCCTGCGGTATATATCGCGGTTTTTTTAACCTGTTAAACCCCAAAGTCCCGGCGGGTACTTTACTTTTTTTTTCACGACAGTGTCTCAGGGGATCGTAATATTTAAGAACCTATTAATGTGTTATACCAGATTAACGGAAATAATCTCAGCTAACTGACGATACAAACCATTTTATACCAAAACAAAACACAAGTCTCATAAGAAGCATCTAAATGACCCCTGAGCGAAAAATGCTAACGCACTTTGGCACAGAACTCAAGATAAAAGTACCCTTATTACTTATCGTAGCTGCACATACAAGATATCCGATTAAAGCTGAGGTTCCACAGATTATTTAGGTATATAGTATCATCACTGAGTGATCAGAACTCGGACAGGGGAAGCAAACACAGACATCACAACACGTACCTTTACGTAGCTTCGAGGGGAGATGTCTCACCTTAGCTGTCAATCTGATCAAAAGACGTGTTCAATGGCATTAAAACGAGAAAGAAAAAACGCGGCTGAATCGGTTAATCCATAGGTTTTTAACGTCTCTGTATTAAAAAAATGATTTAATTTATAATCCATAATTCCATTTTTATGTAAATATCGCAGAGCAAAAGTTAGCTGCTAATGGTAGCCACCATAGTGGCTGCTGCTTCCGGTCTTGGCTATGCGGAAGTCTCTCACACACACATTACCAAATAAGGACTGTGTGATTTCCCCTCGATTCCATTGGCTCTGACGGTCAGAAAGAGATGTTACATGTCAAAATCCAGCAAGGTAGGCCAGAGATATGGAAAATCCACCCAAATGGCCCAAAAGAGGGGTTTTTTTGGTGCTAAATCTGTCTAAAAAGGTCAAATATCAGGGGAAGTTCTACACACACCAACACATGAACAAATAAGGAGTGAGAGTGACGACGCGTAGCCCAAACCGGAAGCTGCATACCACCAAGGCAGAGTCCTGCATCGGGTCGGGTACCCGCGGGTACCCGACGGGTGACCCGCAAAAAAGGTGATTCGCGGGTGGTATTTTTTCAAACGCTTTTTTCCGGGTTCGGTTCTGGGTAAAACAAAGATGATGCGGGTCGGGTCGCGGGTATTGCATAATAAATATATTAAAATAATAATAAATTAGTTTAATGTTTAAAATCCTCAGACCTCTCCCCCGCGGGACCGCGCATAATCATAACCTCTGCAGCGCATCAATCTGCTGCTGTGCTCGCCACATTCGAAATGGCTGAGGTGAAGCTCTATAGCGGAGAATACAGCATTTTCAATAACACTTCCTCAAGAGCGAAATCCAACGTCTGGGAGGCTTTTTGTGTCATCCTAGATGGAGGAAATAACCAACATCCCACGCTTTCTGAGACAAATATGAAACTGCGTGTGTTAATAATTGCACGTTTTCACTGCTCATAGGCTATGCGGGTTGCGGATCTTGTGCCGACGGGTCGGGTCGGGTTGCGGAACTAATTGGCAATATGTGCGGGTAGCGGGGCGGGTTCGGTATTGCACGTCGCGGGTGCGGGGCGGGAGCGGGTCTTGAAAATCAGACCCGTGCAGGACTCTGCACCAAGGTGGCTACCATTAGCAGCTAACTTTTGTGATCCGATTTTTACATAAAAATGGAATTATGGATTATAAACAATTGCTTCAAAACCACAGATACATTATCAACCTATGGATCAACCGATTCAGCCGCGTTTTTTCTTTCTCGTTTTATGCCATTGAACACGTCTTTTGATCAGATTGACAGCTACGGTGAGACGATCTCCCGTAAAAGCTCCGTAAAAGGTACGTGTTGTGATGTCTGTGTTTGGTTCCCCTGTTGCGAGATCGGATCGCTTAGATACTATACTTAAATAATCTGTGGAGTCTCAGCTTTAATCGGATATATTGTACGTGCAGTTTCGATAAGTAATAAGGTTATCTTTATTTTGAATTCTGTGCTAAAGTGCGTTAGCACATTTTTTTAAATGAATAAAACTGCACGTCCCTGCGGTGTGAATACCGTGCATGCGCATACCGCGGTTATCGCCATGACACGGTATATCGTTCAGCCCTAACTCTTATAGACTTAAAGGGATCCATGCGGTCATCGAGAGCTCATCAGGTCCAGTGTCATATACAGTGATCATTGGAAGTGGTCAAGTCGTGAAGCGGCATGTGGATCAAGTAAGAGCCAGATTGACAGACACCGTGCCCTTAGAGCCGGTGCTGGACTCCAACAGAGACACTGTGGTTCCAGTGACAATCAAGCAAGAAGGACCTCCTGCAAGTGAGCCAGTGATTCTGTGTACTCCGGTCCCGCCGGACTTGCCTGCTACACCCGTGGTGAGACGATCAGAGCGCGAGAGACAGCCACCTGTATACCTGAAAGACTTTGTTAAATAGATCAAGAGATGTTCCATTAATAGAGCAGCATAGTTCTCTGTTCTCACTTTAAGGAAATGTTTAGAATGTTAATCTTTGAAAGTGAAATGATTTATGTCAGTACCTCAAAATGTTGTGTAACGGGAGTATGTTATACCCCCACCTTCGGGAAGTATTGTTAGCTTAAAGGGGGGGAAATGTGGTATCTTACCTTGTGTTATTATTACATGTTATTGCATTTGTCCAGCAGGGGGCAAACTCACTCTTGGTATTAAAAGAGCCTGTTGTACATGTTCCCACGAGGAAGTCCCGGAAGCATGTTACCAAAGTAAACCAGTTAAATCTACTCCTACATTGTGGTCATACAATTATTTATCACAAGATACAACACAAGTGTTCATGTCTATTTGGTTATCTTCGGACTTAAATTCAAGGGATGAATCCTGTCTGCTGCATTCGACACGGTGAACCATCAGTTTCAGGCTCTGTACTTTCCCTCCTCACCTCATACCTCAAAGACCGCACCTACACGGTAACTTGGAGAGGGTCTGAGTCTGACCCTTGTCAATTAACTACAGGGGTCCCTCAGGGCTCTGTTCTTGGTCCCCTCCTCTTCTCTCTGTACACAAACTCGCTCGGATCGGTCATTAGCCCGCATGGTTTTTCATATCACTGCTACGCTGACGACACCCAATTAATTATGTCCTTTCCCCGCTCAGTAGGGATGCTCCGATTGATCGGTCACCGATCGAGATCGGCCGATACTCACTCTCTACCGATCGATTGGTGCTCTCTAAACATGCCGATCGCGAGAGCCGATCGCATGACGTAAAATACATGACACTTTTCTCTGTGTGCGGCAAAACAAGCTCGCAAAAAAGGTTTCACCGGTCTGGTATTATTTTAAGGTGTCCGAAAAAGACAGTATAATAGCAGAATGCAACGTGTGTGTGAAGCAGAAATCCTGACCGGTAAGCGGAGCAAAACACACAAGAGTTAGACCTAACACACTTTGCTATTGTATCTACCTCTGGAACAAGCTAAACTAGTTATTATAAATATATTTATTCTTCACTGTCGGGTCACTCATTACTGTATCAGTGAGCTGCATGAGATACTGACAGGCTGAGAGGGGGAGAGAGGAAAAGAGAGCGCTTCCGCTCATTTCTCCCGTGTTATTATCCAAAGTGAATGTAAACTTGAATAGTGTAATTCATTTGAATGTAATAATTAAGTTGATTGTTGTTTGTGGAAGCTCCAGTAAATGAGCCCCATTAACTGAGTTTTAAACATCACTTTAAATGGAAGATTTAAAGTGATGTTTAAATCTTCCATGTAGGCCCCGCCCACTCGATCGGATCGGCGATCGGTATCGGCCGATACTGATTCTGGCGATCGGTGATCGGTCCTGAAATTGGCGATCGGAGCATCCCTACTGCTCAGAGACCCAGGTCGTCGCACGCATCTCTGCTTGTCTAGCTGACATCTCTCAGTGGATGTCTGCTCACCACCTCAAGCTCAACCTTACAAGACTGAACTGCTTTTCCTTCCGGGAAAAGATTGTCCCACTCTTGACCTAACAATCAACATCTTATTGTAAGTCGCTTTGGATAAAAGCGTCAGCTAAATGCAATGTAATGTAAATGCATCTTTCACATTTGTTCTCAATTCTTCTGGCCACCCACATTCTTCCTCCCTTTCTGCCTTTTTTCTGCCATTCAATACCTTTTCCATCCCTCTGCAGTTTTCATTCCCCTCCTCCCCATCCGCTTTACTCCTCCTCCTCTCTCCCTTCCTCTGTTCCTCCATGTGTAGATGGCGGGTGTGAGGGGGTTTGAGATGGTGGGAAAGCTGCTTGTAGGAAGTTTTTTTCCCCCTCTATGTTAACGTGTTCACCGGCTGGACAGCACATTCTTTCCACCTCTGTCGGCCTCGCGGGTCAAGCAGAACCATACCTCCTCCTCCTCCTCTTCTTCCTCTCTCTCTTTCTCCCCCCTTCTCTCCCGTGGTTAATACACTGATCTGACTCTGCTGGAGTGGGAGCCTCAGATGTAGTGGAGGGGGGCAGACATTTTCACATTGGATCACACTTTCCAGCGGTTTCCCCCTCCTGTGTTTTTCAGGTGCTCTCTCTTCGAAAGAGTTACAAAAAGAAAGAGGAAAGGGCTTTAAATATAAACATATGTGGCACACCAGTAACGTGAATGTTTCCATTCCAGACACTTGATTTATGTCTGCCAGCTAAAACACAAGACACAGGATAAAGAGGAGTGGGTGGAAGAGATAGACGTGGTCCGAATGGAAAGACTGAGGATGGAGGAGAAGATGGAGAATGCTCATTGGATCAGTCTCTTTTTCTATCACTCACATGCTCAAACAGTGAGACATGACGACAAATGAGCGTCTCACAGCTGAGCGGTCATTAAGAAA